TGAGCATCTTTATTCTTCAGTTGTGCGTGGCAAACTTTCAAGATGATCGCCAATCCAGATCTTACTTCTGCTGGTTCGGGCCTTGAAGGGCAACAGTCTTCACCTGCTGGGGTGGCAGGTGGAGTCTTGAGATCAGCAGTTAGTGAGGTCCCAGCCTTCTCAGAATCACGTGGTCGTTCAGCTCAATGGGAAAGTACATTTCAGTCATCCGAAAGGGAAAGATCGCAATACACTGCGGCAGGTCGTTTACGTCAGCACGCTCCAATTCCACAGGACCCTGGTGTTTCAGCTTCCATGACGCAATTGCTTTTAGAGCAAAACCGCTTGCTCGTGCAACAACTGCAAGCGCTTCAATCGCAGACGAATCAAAGCCATGCTTCGACATCATCCGGGGGGACTTCACAAACTTCCAGATTATTCCAAGAGCCGAAGGATTTGCTTGTTGGTGTGGATCCTGCTTTGAGAGGTGTTTTTGAAAGCTTTGCAAAAGACACAAAGCATAGCTTCGCTGCTTGGGAAACGCAGCGAAGCCTCCATGACAAATACTCCAGGTTGTTTGGTGAAAACAAGCTCCATGCGCATTTCCAAGCGGAGGCATCTTTCAAGTGGCAATTCGCAAAACGTTACATTGCTCAGGCTCAGCCTTTGGCACCTGGCGGGTCCGGGACTGTCATGACTGATGAGCCCTATGATTTGCTTGCTGATTGGGAAGAGATGCGTCAGCGGCATGCGCAGGAATGTTTCGCCTTCGTTCGCATTCATCAGGAGCGTTGTTTGAAGATGTACGATGAAGAGGTTTCTTGTGAAGCTCTTCAGCGCAAACTTGGGGACAAGGTTGTCGCGTGGTTGGCTCAGCATGGTTACAACGACGCTGGGATCGTGGAAAGCATGGTGCACAAATCCAAGCAGTTCGTTGATAGTTTGGTTCGTTTGGAACGTCCCAAAGTTCAGAATCGCATTGACAAGGACAAGGAGTTGAAACAAAAACGCGACCAAGCCTTGTTGGATGCCACGTGTAAGTGGGAGAGTTTGGATGTGAAGGATGTGCTTTCCCCTGCTCTGCTCGAGTTAGCAAGCCGGGGTTCAGCACGCAGTAAACCGTTGACAGTTAAAGAAGACAGTGCTTTGGCTTTTCTCGTGAAGGACAACGTCGAGTTACAGGAGAAACATCGCATCAAGATTACTTCAAGTGCAGTGCGGTTGCCAACTCCGAAGCGAAAGCCCAAGCCGTCACCGCGGCGGGGACGTGCGACGGACAGATCTCCCTCGAGGCTTCGTCCTACGTCTATTCTCAAGGGGAGCCGTTCACCTTCCAAGTCGCGAGCCTCGTCACGTACGGAAGCCTCTCCTGGTAGACGAGTTACGTTTGCAGATGGCGCCAAAGGCAAAGGAAAGGGCAAAGGCAAAGGCCAGGGCAAAGGAAGAGGCAAAGGACGAGGAAAGTCAAAGAGAAAATAGCATTACGAAGCAGGGGCCGCTCCTTCTGGTCTGATCGTGACAAGTGCACTGTTGACTTCTACAAGTTCTGCGTTGTGCGGTGCTTACGTTCCCACTTTCGCACTTTACTTTGCAGACCTCGTTTCAAAGGAGTTCACAACTTGGTCCCGACATGTGTTTTGGAAATTCCACAATTTGTTCTATTGCATGTTTCCAAGGGTGGCAAGTTCATCCCCACTGGTCGTCGCACTACGTCGCAAGCCTTGTCAACTCATCTGCCTATGTTCCATCGCCAGCTTCTGCTTCGCAAGATGTTCCCAGCTGATGCCGCGAAACGTGTATCTCGTTGCCGAGTCTCCTCTTCCTGGCAGCCGGCTGGAGATAGTCGTATTGATGCATTTTTTCGGCTTCTTCGAGATGATCTGGCTGAGTTTGAGGCGTCAGATGTACATTCCAACCTCTCTTGGATGGATCGTAAAGCGCAGATGTGGTTGAAGCAACACCGTGACATTGTTTGTGTGGTTGACTGTGACAAAGGCTTGGGGGAAGCCATCGTTCTCCGTTCTTGGGTGAATGAACAAGTTGCCCTTCAGCTTTCGCATGGCTATGTACAGTTGAACCCGGCTGAGCTTCACTTGAAGATGAATGGCTGCAAGCAGAGGGCTGATGTCCTTGTGCAGTTTTTTCATTCATCAGGCGTGTTATCATCACAGCAAGCACGCTTCCTTTTGAGTAAGTTGAATTCTTCTTCTGCCGGTTGTTTCAGAATTCTGGCGAAAGTACACAAGCACCCTGTTGCTTCGAGGCCGGTGTGCAATGTTCGCTGCATGTGGTTTGGTCCTTTCAACTCATTTCTTGTTGAGCAGTTGAATCCTGTCGTGAATGCGTTGCATACAGTCGTCACTTCAACTGACAGCTTGCTGCATGAGCTTGGTGGTTTGAGTTGCAAGCCGGGCTACAGATTCGTGACGTTGGATGTGGTAAATCTTTACCCGTCTATTGACAGGCAGCATCTTTTTCAAACGATTGTCCCTTGCTTGAGGCGCCACATTCCAAGTCATCAGAAATGTACATTCATTATCCGAGCGCTGGAGCTCGTAATGGATGCTTGCGTGGTGTCGTTCAATGGGAAGGTTTACGAATCACAAGATGGTGTTGCCACTGGTTTGGGTGTTGCAGGTCAAGTCGCTAACATCTACCTTTCAAGCCTCGATAACTTCTTGATGCAATCTTGTGACAATTGCTTGCAGTTCTTGCGGCGGTACATTGATGACCTCCTTCTTTTGTGGAGTGGTTCCGCGCTGGAATTATCTGCCATTGCAAACAGCTGGCATCCTTCATTGAAGTTTGACTTGTCAGGTGATGGAAATGTTCATTTTCTTGACGTGGCCTTGCACATTGAGCAAAACAAGTCAGTTTCTTGGTCTATGTTTGAGAAACCTCAGAACTTGCATTTATATGTACCTGCCAACAGCTGTCATCCGGACAGCGTCTTTCACAGCCTTCAAATTGGAGGGTTTTGGAGATGTTTGCGCAGGAATTCTTCCGCCGTTGATGTGAAACGCAGTTTGGCTGCTTTCAAGTTGCGTCTGCGGGATCGTGGGTTCAGCATTGCGGCCTTCGAGCGCATCGTCAAGCGGTATCAAGACAGGATTGCAGCGAAGCAGCGTGACAGAAACATGGTCCGTCAAGTTTTCTTGAAGGTTCCTTTCAACAAGGATATCA